TCTAATGCGCTCATTTTTGCCGAAATCTGATATTTTTATGGAGAAGTGCTAGACAATTCATTCCCATGGCGACCCTGTGCAGGATATATTTATTTAAAATTGAGGCTTAATAGACAGCCAGGATAAGGCATTCGATGAACATTAATATGTACAGTTTGTACACCCACAGTTTGTGCGCGCATTTCCCTTCAGTCTTTTAATATAATGACTTCATAAATTCAAGACGAACAATTTGCTATAAAATTCAACTTAGCCGGAAGAAAATTTATAAAAATAAATAGATACAAGAACGCGTGTTTTTTTAATTCAAATTTATTGAGAATAGTATTTTGTATGGGGATACTTTCTGTTCTTGTAAATGTTAATATTTCTCCTCTGCGTAGCAATTATCAGGCAATATCTTTTGCTTTTAACGAGTTGATACAGTTCAATGCGGATCCTTTGTTTTATTTTAAACAGTTACTGTATTGTTTGGTTTGATGAATTAAATGTATCATTCTATTGATTGGAATACGTGTTAATTATACGATAAGTGTGTACCTAGTCAGGAGTTGGTGAGCGAATGAATTATTCACGCTGTCGCGATGGGAGTTGATGACATCACTGACACCTAGAAACTCGTCATTTCACAGTTAATTAAAAGTAAAGAACGATTAAAACACGAAAAGTATTTTGTAGCAGATTTAGGATTTCTATTAGAGAAATTTGAATATTTGTCAAGAAATAACACATTACTACAAAATAGTAAAATTTAAAACCCAATTATTTACTTTATTTCGAGACTATATAATGGCAGATGGAATACCGTGCTTTAGCCAATCAGATGGCTAGATTCAGACGAAGTATTTTATTATAATGCACGCAAATATTTTACGTGAATATTATTATTGTTCATTCTCGATTTTCACATTTCGAGACGATATCTGAAAGATTGACTGGTCAATTATTACTAACCGTTTATGGGTAAATGGCTCGTTAGTGAGTTCTAGTGGCGGTAACTGCCGCCAGGCATCATCATGTGTTGTTACAAGTAACCCGAGAAAATACGCTGGCTGATTACACTACGTAAATCAAATAATATATGCGGATATGAAATACAGAATTGAACTAGCTAATCAAATATTGACTAACCAAATGACCTTCTGTCTCACATCACAATATTAGTATATATCTATATTGTTTATGTTTGACAGTGTAATATGATAAGTAATAATGACACAGCGGAATTCTTTCTTTGACATTATTTTAATTTACCGAAAAATCGAAAAAATATGACAGCAGTTTGACACGATCGATATCAGTGTCAGTAGTGAAATTATTATATTTTGTTGACGATTTTTTTATGATTTGTGACATTATAACGATAAATTTCAATAAATCGAGCACGAGTTTATATCCATGTATTATTCAGTGCCATTAGTTGAAGATACGGAACAAAATTATAATTGTACAGGTGAAAGAAATTTGAAAAGTCGAAGTGTTCCGAAATGATAATTATTCGACCTAGAGACAAACGTCATAGCGTACGTGTATCATATTTCACACCCTACTCACTCGGACAATGTCCAAATATAGTATACTATCATTATCGTAATTTGTAAAGCACAGTAACGCAAATACACTGAACGCAATATGTTATCGGATTAAGGTCGTTGTATTAAATGTTCATAGTTGTCTCTACATCCGTTCGTGCAATTTGATCACATGCATCAATATATTAACAATCTATTGCACCTTAGACACTACAAGAATACACTCATCAATATGATTAATATTTCATTGATGATTAATATTTCTCTGCCCAGTCGATTTCTTGACAATAATCGTATTTGTTCATGAATTAAATCAAGACATTAAAATGTACACAGGCTAATAATGCCCATTTCCTTTACATTTAAAAGTTGCACTAACAAAATGTGAATAAAACAAGTTCTGTAATTGATTTCAGCCTATAGTGTAAATATCTGTATTGCAATTGTGGCTAATCTAGAGCATTACGTATAAACGCTGGTGACGTATTCTGTAAGTAATCGGAATATAATAAGTGGTGCACATATTCTGACGTGTATGTTTGTGTGTTTGAATCGGTGTGTTCTGGATCGATATTTATTTCACTTCTCAAACCCTCAAGCAATTTATTATCATTCTTTGATATTTTCAATAACAAATTAAAAATTGGCAATTTGTCACTTTTGAGAGATTTACACATAAGCACAGGCAATAAATAATTACCAGAAAAAAGTGCAATATGAAAAATGGGGGACAAGGGGAATATATGTTGATCATTTCTTCCCTGTAACTGAAAATCTAATCAATCTCTAATTCTCTAATAATTTTTAATTGTTACAATTCCCACAATATTTTGAGCGTTTTTAGGTTTCATCTTTTAAATTTTCTGTCATAATTCCCAGTCGTCATCCAGAAATCGAAGACTATTACTCCCACTAAAATACCTCCCCCTACTATCTCCCATCGAAATATTGCAAAATAATTCCATTCCACTACTCTGTACTAAATATAATTACTTCCCGATACCTATCATCTCAAAGAATTGATTACAGAATAATTTACTTTTCGATGACTAGTTACGTTGACTGCAAATGTCAAATAGCATACGACAGCCTGGGCATCATTTTGACAATTTTCACAAGGCATTGCACTTTTATGTATAGTATAGTAGTATTCCCACCGATCGAAACACTGGATTTTAATGTTACAGTAACGATATTTTTAGACATATCCAGTGACATTATTATTACCTTCTGTGTAGCTTTTTGAATAGTCGCATTATCTATGAACTGATCAACCAAAGAACTTAATATCTGTTCTTTCTACCATCAAAGATATATTTCAAAAATACTGTGATGTTATATGTTATTAATCATACGTATTAATGAAACAACTTTTGGAAATTCTGATACCGAGATTTTTAATATTTCTGCTATCCAAACTCTCGATTTGTCCTTACTTCATACTACCAGTATGCTTGAAAGATATCATCCTGCAGGAATGTTTTCAGAGCAAAATGGTCCACCACGATACAAGTACATTATGTTTGCTACTGATAAACCTGATGATGCAAAAACGTTACACACAGAAGAACATTTTTAACAACGTATTTGTAGAGTGTAGCATAATTTCTTCATAAACTTATAAAAAAAAATCTCATTCAGGTATATTTACGATGTACCTTCTATCAACAACCCTTCCATCAATAATACTCTTTCTATTACAGTGGCGGCGGCTCGAGGGGGGGGGGTCCCCCGAAATCACCCCCCAAACATCAAGCTGAAATCATCCTTTGTGTATTTTTCACTTAAATCCATCGCAAATGCCGATAAAGAATCACTGCGCATGACCAGAGCGGGCAGCACTGTCATTAAACTCATTTATGTATGCCAGCAAAATTTGCCTCCCAAAATGAAGGTAATAGCATTTCATGAGGGTCTAGATTCGGCGCGAGGGACCGTGAGATCCATGCAAAGTTGCGTGCCGCCGCCTCTGCCTCATATCCTGAGGTAATCTTTGAATTTGACTCTTATAATTATTACCTCCATGGTATTACAAAAGAGATGAACATGACCAATTTACTTCATCGTTGAACAATATCCACCATTCTTCTGCAAATGCTGTATGCATTATCAAGCGTTCCTAGGCAGCGGGTCTCTGATTTTTTCTACATCATTCATCTTATGTTAAGAGTCCTGCTATGAATTGGCTATTTAGATTGATATGTGGTGCGTGTGCTACCTGTGGAGCAGACCATGCTCACTCTTTTGCAAACACCTGATATCACCTCAATCTTTGTTTAATCCTTGAGGTACATTATATCATTGCCTTGTACATTAATTGTTAGGAATTTTTTGAGACTGATCATTTACTCTCGTTTAGCACACTAATTTCTGTACTACTGTACACACTATGTAAATGTACTTTGTCCATGTATTTTTTATTGTTGTATGTCCATTGTATTTAGTTAAAATCCCTATACGACTATTAAATTTAGATTAGTGAATGTGTGGGTACATCGTCCGAATCGCACGGTCCCGTGTCTTCGACCTATAGGCCTCTAAACACGATACCGTGCGGGATCGCCTAGGCTAATTGCGTATCTTAAGCAGTGAGAACTGATTGGGCCCGCCTCGAAACAAGGCGCCCAATCAGCTTGGACGTACCAAATTATAAAACAAAATTCCACTTCCTGTTTTTGTCGCTATGAAGGCATCCTTCCCACACAAAACTGCGTCGACTGCCTGTACTTGATGAGGCTTGAGGGCACCAACACCGACAACTTTCACATTGTTATCATCACAAATATCATATTTAAAATGAAACGCCAAAGAGGGATTTGTAACACGCAAACTGATTGGACAATGATTAGCCGCAACTGACTACTGGAGGCGCTGTTAGAATACGCGTATTTGATGGTCTGTTTAGAGGCTTGGCCGAATAAACTTAGACCTTGGCTAGCGAAGATGGTGTGGGAAAGGAGTATGAGTGTTTCGTATTTTGGCCATTTCATTATTTCTTTCCTTTCTTGCATACACCTGATTAAATTGTGCTCTAGCATTTGTTGAATAGAAAATAATAATCTTGTCTCCGGGCAGCTTGTTTGTTAGCCGCAACATTTCTATTAGCCGTATCGGAACTGTTATTTCCTGCAATAGTTGGACGTTCTTTGTCGGCATTTTGAGATTTAGTTTTTTTTTATGCTTAGACATAATCTTTTCCTGTTTATCTGGAGCCACCACAAGGCCACTGATTTGAGCGCATGCGTCGGTGTAGCCCTCTCTATATAAATTATAGTTTGGCTTTATGGAATCAAATATCGAAAAACAACGAAAAAATGTGACGTCACTTACGATTTTCAAATCATTTCTATAATCATGTTCACATGACAAATGTCGGAATAATAGATATGTAAATGTATACATCAAACTAAAGAAATCAACGAAATATTATGAAAATTAGTGTGCCGACTTCATATTAATTTGGGCTTTATGAATTTGATCGGGGACGTCAGAAAACTAAAATATTTGAATACAGCGTTGCGCGCTGTACATGGCTATTCACAGCGACAACGAATGGGACGAGGTATGTACACATTTTCCTGTCATAATGATGACAATGTAAAAACTTGAAAACATTAATGGTAAAAAATAAATAAAATAATTTGAATTAAATAGTAAAATTTAGTTAGTTAAAGTGTCTTAAAAGTGAAGCTGATTCTACAACACTGAAAGTTGACCCAGTTAGAGTATTTACTCTACGAGTCAAAGTCTGAAATTGCAAATCAAATTGGTTTTCCCTAATATCTAAGGCTTTTTTTTAATTTTGATAACATAATACCACAGTTTCAAATACAAGCATGTCATGCCTAGCAAAATAGTCAATTCTAACTGTGGTGTGGAATCTATAGTGACCTTTGAATACACTGTTATATCTTTCAGTGCATCAGCGTATTGTTCGCGGTACATGTAGCGGCATACAAGTCAAATGCACGAATTCCACGCAGTGCATATTTCGTGACCAACTTTGCGATGATCATGTCGATTGTGACAATGGCTCAGATGAATGGTCATCAGAATGTAGTGAGTATCAATCAATCACCTACAACCATTTATTCTCAGTTTAGGTTTATGTTGTCACTGGATGTTGTTCACAATATGGAATGTTGATTTCACCAGAAACTCTCCACAATATAAATTGTTGATTCCAAAATATTCAAAAACGTGACTTGTAGATGGGATAGTGACATGTATTAAGATGTATATTTCTGATTACAGCTGATGAAGATGATAACACTAACTGGGACATCTTAATTGGTCAAAAGAGTGATTCAGAGGAGGAGGAAGACAATGAGAGTGAAACAATTGAGTGCGGTGAGTAGCAATTCGTATTTACGCATTAATTATTCATATTTGTAACCAATGCAGGCGGTGTAGTTACGCGAGATTAATAATGATTACTGTATTTTTTATGATAGATAATGGTAGTTATCCGGAAGAATGTAACTGTACACATTTTATATTGAGGGAAAATGGGTTTATGACGTCAGAAAACCAATTCTATACTATAATAGACACTCGTTTAGATTGCTCCCATAGGAATTTAACGTCAATTCCGGGTGGGATACCACCCAATATTACCAAGCTGTGAGTATATATAATTATACAAATCTCTACAGCCTATGTGTTGTTATCTGTTATTTTTCACTGATTGCAAATTCATTACATAACTTTGACCGATATTATAATCAATATTAAAAATGACATCCTTAAAGATCGTTGGAGTTTCAAATCTGGTTATTCACGAAAATCGTTTTTTATTCTAAAGTTTCTGACATGTGACTTGTGTAATGAATAATCATTACTTGTTATATTCAATATATATTATATGTTAATGTACCGCGTGAATTCTTTATTGTTAACAGGAATCTGCGATATAACTCGATCCAAGAAGTAAAAGCAGGAGATTTGTATGGGTTATACGATCTCACTGAATTGTACGTATCATTAAATTAACATCTACCGCCGTTCATATAATTATTATTTGTTTCCTTCAGATAACAAAAATATCCATAGCAAATAGAGTGAAATAAAATAAAGAAAATGCTAATGAAACAATCTTATTACCTCCATAGTCTTTACTGCGCACTCTGTGACAATATTTAGGATAGCATATACTAGTATGCCTCCACAAAATATTTAGGCGAACATCGCAAACATATATAAATATAACGATCACTTGATTGAAAAGCGATTTATATTTTACATTTACACAGTGTTCGCCACTCCGAAACTTAAATAATATACGCTCGCCAAGAACTTACCACTACATTCTGAAAACTTTTTGAGTTAAATACAGAAATGCCAGAATCGACACCAACACAATC